CCCCCCCTTTCCCTTTTTTCTCGGGAACACAGGCCTACAGGCGCACAACTATATATCAGTACTCTGAAAGAACCTTGAGCAACAACCATGGATACATGCAAGTGATACGTGATGCAGACAGATGTGTAACATCAAGTGTTTCACCCCTCCCCCCTTCCCTCCTGCTCCCTCCCTCCCCTGCCCCCCCTCCCTCACTCCCTCCCTGTCTCTCCCCCTCCTCTCCACTCTCTCCCAGTTTTTCTCCCCTTCCACCTCCGTCTCGCCTCTGCCAGAAGAAGGATTGTAGACCACGACATCCAAGAGCCAGCTTCGTTGCTGAAGAACAAAGCCTAGTCTTCTGTAAGCGACAATTATAAAGGAGGCGCTTGTTTTCCATGCCTTGCAATGAAGGCATTCGCACGTGCCTCGTTATACTGGTAACTGCACTTGGTATCCGGGACGTTTATTGTCGTTTTGTTCGAGCTGCCACTGATTTTCCCGAGGCCTTGTTGACAAACGCTGGAAACCGAGTGCAGCCCAAGTGTCAACAAGAGCCGCACATAGGACAACGACTGCACAGACTGCATAGCGCCTGCTGATTGCCCAAGCACATCAAACTGGAGCAGAAACTTCTTTTAACCGCAAATCATCTCCGGTTGGACACAACGCCTGGGCCATACTCACTGAGCACCTCGAAGCGGTGCTGATGTGGAATCATGACATCGCTTGTTCTGCGATTTAAACAATAATTTTGAAAAAGAAAACTGCTACGACTACGATGTCTAACGTGTGGAAAATCAGTGAACATCGCAGTTCCTCTTGGATCGTCAATTTGTCTGAAAACGGCTCGTCATGCCATCGAAGTTATAAGCACAGCCTACATTTGCAGCAGCTCATGCAGGGCGAACCATCCCATCAACCTCGAAATAAGTGTGAAACTGATCTTATGCTCCCTGGCGAGCATGGGGATTTGACGGAACACAGCCGCAACCTCGAGTACATCCGCGATGTGATTGAACAACAAACCCCATTTACCAGGTGCCGGGTGCGGAGCACGGGGGCCGTCGATGCCCACAACTTTGCAGTAGCCTCGCCATTTGCGAAGCACTCGGGATTCAGGGCCGAGGGGCAATCGAGATCTGATAGGGTTGGAGTTCTCGAAGCTAGACCCATGGGAAGGTTTAGGGCTGCGAGGCTAAGGTGTTCAATTTGCACGAGGCAATTCCGGTTCGATTTCCGGGTTGAATGTGTTGGAAGCCCGACCTTGGAGCGCTGCGCATCGACACCACCAGCCATCAGCCCCGAAACACAACCCGGTTTCATAATCAACCCACAGCCACATCTCGAGCGGACACAGTCACAGTGGCTGCCCCACGTAATCGTCTGTGAAATTCCGATCCTGACCTGCTTTGAAGTTTCGCCTCTTTGATCAGTCAACCGTGAACCGTTGCAGACAACAGGGAAGTCGGGGTATTCCAAGACATCCCAGTGGAGCACTAGGGAGAGTCCAGCGCAACTCCAAGCATACGAAAACATCAATTATATAATTGATTCTGGGGGTTGGGCGCTCAGGGTGACTCGTCATGGCTCGTCTCCACACCAGACACCTTTAACCTCAATCCGTCAATCCCGGTTCCAGTTTCTGCATATAGTTACAGCAACAAGAACAATCAACCTTCGACAAATCCCACAACAACAGGGCCTCAGCTCTCCATCAGGAATTCTCGGAGGATTTCAGGTTGAGATCGCCGCAAACGCTTGAACTGCGTGAGCAGCACGCAGCCCCTGAGTCTTCGTCTTGAAGAGTTGAGGAAGATATGTTGCTGGGTTTCGCTCACGACGGCTCAATCAAGCTTTTTGTATTCCCAAGTTGGTCTCGTTGACATGGCGCAGGTAGCACGGATGATGTGCCGTCGACATAATGACGTGCTCCACAACCACAAATTTCATCCAGCGCAGAAGTATCGCCGCCGAGCCGCATGAGCATGACCAGGGACCCGATGCCTGCCAATGCCCAGAGCTGCATCTCGGGCAGCACCTGTAGTGCGAATGAATATGTATGTGTATGTGTATGTGTGTGTGTGTGCGTGTCTGTATGTATGTATGTACGTACGT